CAGGCTGCCCAGGGAAGTGGTTGAGTCCCCATCCCTGGAAGTATTTAAAAGACGTGTAGATGCGGCACTTAGGGACATGGTTTAGTGGGCATGGTGGTGTTGGGCTGATGGTTGGACTCAATGATCTTAGAGGTCTTTTCCAACCTTAATGATTCTATGAGTCTGTGATTCTATAAGGAGGAAACCTAGGAGCCTTTCCGCAGATAACAAATTTGCAAAATGAAGCCCAGCCATCAGAAGACTTGGCTCTGCTGCAGGAAGCCTAGACCTATTCTGTTTCACTTCATGCATCACTGGCAGCCAGACTCCGTATCCACACTCTTTAGCAGCAATGTTTGCACACTGATTAGTCTTCTTGACTGGGCCTATTCAGCAGGCAGGAAATTATTATTTAGAGTTGTAAAGCATACAAGTTAATCTGAGAGGAATACAGCTAATTTTGAAATGGCATTTTTTGATCTGCTGACCACAGCCAACCATGAACCCTTTTGCTTTCAAATCTACTATTTGACTGACAACACGGAACAAAGCGACCAGACAACACAGCGAGTGCGCAGTTATGAGATACTATGGCTCCGGCAGCAAAACAAGTTTACGATCCTCCCTGCCACTGGTCTCAACTCTTCTGTTGCATCAATGCTGCTGATGTTTGGCATGCCTATTTTTAACTCAGATCAGTTCAGTGACCCAATTTACCGCAGCCAGATAAACAGCTGTAACTGCCCAGTCATGAAACAGAGTTTGCAGGGGCAAGAAGGGGAGTTCTTAAACTTGCTTCACTATCAAAACCATTACCGTGTAATGGTAATCCTGCCCTGCAGGATGAGAAGGCCAAGCTTTTCGCCTCTTGAGGCCAGATGAGATTATACAGCCCCAGTATGATTTCCCAGACTCTCACCAATCCTAATTCTCTTAGTGACCTTTCTAAAGCCAAGCTCAGTTCAGCTGCTGACTGACAGATGCTCACACTCAGAAGCAGCACTCCCCCAGCTACTACCAAACCGTTTCTTTCCTCGCACTCAGAAGCTGCAGACTGTTCTTCAGGACCCACTGCTCCCTTGCAAAGAGAGGAGCACACAGTAGTGGGGCAAAGCAGGAAAAGCCCTGGGCGCTCCTGCTCACACTGTCACAGTTCGGCTGTCAGTAAACTTCAGTTGCACAGGTTCTCAACGCAGCCTCTCACACGGGCTCCAGATTCTCACCTTTCCTAAAAAAACACATTAGAGAAATGTGGTAGACTCTGTGGGAACTGCTATTGGAGACAGATACAAGAGACAATTCTTTCTGTGCAAGGTAACAAATTAGAGATTTATAGCAAGAAAGAGGAAAAACAGCAACAGCCTTCTGAATGACTAGACTCGGGCAAAATCCCATGCTACAGCTGTTATTTATTACCTCTTGTGACCAAACTAACTGGAGAAACAAGCCAGTTTTACAAACACTTTGAGTAAAGGTCTGACCATATGCTTAGAATAAAAGCAGAATTGCTTCCCATAACAGACAGGGACTGCAGGAACAAGGAAGATTTTAACTGGGAAAATTCAAAATATTCCCAACAAAAGTCAGGAAGGAAAGCAAAGACTGAATGTCACTCAGCAAGACTGATTCTCCCTTTATCTCAGCCTCCAGTGCACTCAGAAGGAAGCAGCACATTTCCTTGCAATGCTCCATTATCAGAATTAGGCATTACATAAAAACAAAATGCTGCAGATTAGAAATATCTCAGCTCTCCCACCCTGCCCAATGGATGCCAAGCCTTCACGTAACATACACGCCAAAGGTGCAAATAAACTGTTCATAGCTTACACAAGGAAGTGACTTCCACAAAGCAACAAACTGGTTCCAGTATCACTCCAGAATCTTAAAGAGGGAGCTGGCGTGTTTCAGTAGAAAGCACAGCATCCTGGAATTATGATGGCCGACATGAAATACTCAGACGCTACAGTGAGAAATGGGCATATAAAACCCAAAGCAAGTATGATTCAGAAGAGCAGATGTCCGATCACCCAAGAGATTTAATCATTAGTGGTGTGACCACCTGTGGGTCACACAAGGCAGAAGAAACAGCAACATGGCTCTTTTTTTGTGATCAGAGGCTCTGGAAAAGAGTTGCAGCATCTAGGGGCTCCAGCCACTCTTTATTAAATTTTTTTTTTCTATGTCAACTTTCATGATCAAGACAAATGTGCTCTGGTGTTATATAATAACCTCACTTGCCTTATTAAATTGCAAACAAAGAGAAAAAGGTTGTTTTCTCACTGCACCACCTGCTTACGAGTGCTATATCCCAATTTGGAAGTTCTGACTAGAGCTAGCAACTGCTCAGATT